AAAAATGATTCTTCTGCGAAACAGACTAATTAAAGGATAAAATGGGAGCAGAAGAAGATGTCTAGGACCAGGACAATATTAAAGTTTAAGTCACTTGAAAATTGTCAGATAGGCAAACATCAACAATGATAAATATATTTACCTATTTCCTCCATCCTTTTTAACATGTACTCTGCCTCTCACAGCAATTTATTAAATACTTGCAATCAAACTGTTGAGATTCACAAATTTTCCACTAAAAAATGCAATGGAAATGGAGATATTAATTACTTATTTCAAAATAGCTGATCGATACATTTCCTGTTGATTTTAGTATACTTGGTACAGTAGGCACATCAAGGTTTCCAGACTCCACAACATTCACAGAAGCCTTTGTCAAGAGAGGCTATTCAGTGGTAGTTTTAGTGTGGCTTTGACCAGCTAACTTCGACTTTCAATCGAACAACTGAATGTGTTCAACTGAGTAAAACACACACTGTTTATGAAAAGTACCAATGCCTAGTACCTATTTTCATTAATTTAGACCTAAACCTAGTACATGGGGCTTGCCATACCACAACCAGCATCAGAATTGGTATGAGGGGCCCTGACATTTATTGTAGTAAAAAACAAAAAAAATTATATAAACTATAATAGCATAGTTTAATTCAATCGGGCCCCGACAGTTTTAAACATTGAATACACTGTCCTGGCATTATCATACAGAAACCGCAGTTGCTCAGGAGTCATGTAAACGATCGCTGTAGTTTTTTGTTTATGTTGGGCTTTGTCTTGCGAACCACACATGACCTTTTAATTTACTTACACCAACATACAGTACATACCGTAAAATCTCGAACTGAAGCCCAGTGGGCTTAATCTTCTGATGAAGCACATATTAAATTGAAGCCCACACCCCCCCCCCTTTTTTTTTAATTTGTAAAAAATTAGCATCGAGAAGAAGCAGGCTTCTTTTTGAGATATACACTGAATTACAAAAAAACAAAATAAATTAAAAACAAGATTGGTTTATACAGTAGTTTAGATGATTTAAATACAATCCATGATATAGATTGATGTTAAATTGGAATTATTTATTGTTTTATAGTTGAAAAGAAGCCTCTCCCCTCCACTTTACTTTGCAAAAGTTGCCTCAAAAAGAAGCCCATCCAAAGTTTATAAAAAAAAAAAAAAAAAAAAGAACTCAATAATTCAAGGTTTTACGGTAGGCTTACAATAGGCCTACACCAGTTCCGAAAGTTGGCCTATGTAATCTATGTTGGTTTTGTCATAAAATTTTCTGAAATGCTTCATCAGTCATGGACCATTCTATGTTCTCTGACAACGCAGCTCTGAGTGCGAGGGGGAAGCCCCATCAGACCCCACCAGGGGCCTTCACTCCTGTACCCCAACAGGGCCCTACACAGCTCCCTGCCCCTCCCCCACATGTTTGTTCGCTCCGCTGCCAAACTTAATAAAGCTCACTTTGCTCACTTATTTTTGGCCATGTAACATACCACCAGGGCCCTACAAACTCTGCGACGCCACTGATACGAGATCAGATGAACCACAAAGATTCAACGAGATACATCCTAAAATATGAACCACAAAGATTTAACAAGATACACCCTGTTTCCCATAAAACCAAATAAAAGTTCTCGTTTAATCTTTTCATTTTATTTCTCAATCTCGCTTCGTGATTCTATGAGATTTAAAAGCTCAACGAGGTCAAAAAATCCGCCCAAAAGCTTATCTTATTTCTGTTGGTTACGCACCGCTGATTCGCAATGTTTGTCATCACTTCAAGATGTCTACCGATTCGTGAAAAAGGCGTATATAATTATTGGAGGCCTCCTGCTGCTACTATAGGCTAGGCACTAACTACAGCCTGGTGTGTGGTAGTAGCAGATGTTCTATTTTACCAATACTAGCCTACCTAATTGAAAAAATTGAAAATATATTAGACAAAAAATACCTTGATCTAACTTTACATATGATGGTGATTCCATAATGATGATAGCTATGTAAACATTTTTTTGGAGATTCATCATCAAATAAGCTCACACACCACATACCCACCCAAAACAACCAGAAAGAACTTATACTGTACCAGGAAGAACTTATACCAGGAAGAACCTACTTTCAGGGTTGCCAGATAGTCAAGAGGCTTCAAGGCCAAGCACACACCATCTTTTATGGCCAAATTCGGCCAAACTTTTTTTCGATATTGGCCAAAATTCAGCCAGTAGATTTCGAACGGATTAGTTTAAAATATAGCGGGTAATGTCAGTTAAAAAAAAAGTTAAAAAATGTTGCACTGTTTTTGTTTTGTCTTGTTCTTATAATTAATCCAACAGGCGTTTGTCAATGAAAGTTGATACATATACATCTGTCTCTTATACACATCTAGATGTGTATAAGAGACAGGCACCTAACACTGGATGGAAACTCGCATATATTAAAGCATCTGAAAATTTCACGTAGATGTGTATAAGAGACAGATTTACACTCAATTCGATTGAAAACTCCTGGACTTCCTATTGCTTCTCACTTTTCCAATAACCACAGTAAGGATGATATTGTTGTCACTGGTGTCAAGCTTTGCCGTAATTCAGATACACTTCGCAAGAATTTAGAAGAAAAATTAATTTATAAACTAGGAACTCTTATGCCACTTGGTCTTAATACGTCTTTTAAGTCATTTCGAATCTAGAACGACCACATGTTATATTATGCTTTTGAGTAATTTATATATTTTTGATGAATAGGCCTATGTATTTTATTTAGGATTTATGAATGCCTACTATATTATATATATTTTATTTCATAGTGCCTATATTTATATATATATATTTTTTATATGGTTCCTAAATGATCTAGTATATATTATTTTTTTATTGCGGACGATGTATGATTCACTTCTTTGCCGACGTAGTATGAAGCATTTGCATCCTTTGTTCTCTTTGTCTTGTGATCTTTTGTTATATATTCACGTTTGATTGGTCATATTTTTTGACAAGCTTATGTCATTGGTCACTATTTTTTATAATGTAGCCACCTATGTACTATATATACTTGTAATATTTTCTATACTGTTCACTGACTTGATAAAGGGTTACGCCCGAAAGATCTCGTCTATTTTCTTAATAAATTTTGAGGCAAATCTATTACCATCTCTACGAGTTTTATTTTATTGTACTGTATCTAAAAGCAAAAAAAAGGCATACCGTATGTTTATATATAGATTTATAAAGTTGATTTTTAAATAACTGAATTTATATAAATTATTATACTCGGATAAAAGTGTTACCCTTATTATGCACAAAAAAAACAAAAACCTGATTCTAGATCTACGTCACACAAAATGATGTCGAATAAGAATGTTGTTAATGATTAGGAATGCGCAAGCCTACTATAAACAGGGAGGTACTTCAGTATACCTCCCTGCTAAACATTTGCTAGATATTTTTATATCGCACATATAATTCTCTAATGTTGAGCAGCAACTTTAAGGCAAATTTTGGTTTACTGTATCGTCCGGAACATCGTTCCCCTGTCAGGGACCGGACACAGGCCCCCTGTCGGGCAAATCCTGGCACCACCCAGCTCTCGAACACCACCATGGACATTGGGTCTATAGAACAATGTGTTTCTAAAACATAAATAATAATTTAAAAAAAACAAATCATTAAATAGCAAATAAAAGACAAATAATTAGAACACATATTTATTTTTTTAGTCAGTGATGCAATTTATTTTAAAATAATCCAACAATTCTATCATACAAAAAAATCTTTTAACATTTTGAAATTATATTTTGAAAGACATTTTTTCCAATATTTGTGATATGAATATTTTAATATATAACTATAATAATAATAATATACATTTTTAATATTGCTTACTTTCATTTGGAATTTCAAAGAAATTCTGTATAATGATGATATATATATATATATATATATATATAGGCTTTAAAACCACCCTTTTCCCATAATTTTAAATATTCAAAAACCTGTACTATCTCATCCGGTTTTTGTTTCATTTCTTTGCCTGCAACCATGAAATATCTTGATAAAATGCCACCAGCACCAAATGTTGTCTTTACACTATTAAAGCTAAACAGTAGTACATTTAGCGGTTTGGAGCAAGCACAAATATCAAGTTTAATTACCGGTATTGTAATCTGTAAAAAAAAAAAAAAATTTCTAAAATGCCTCCGGGATAACGGTCGATATCTCCAACAAAGGACAAATTTAGGGACTGAAACCTAGTGTCTATATAAATGAGTACCTGATAGGATGGTGTGGCATTGAATGTAGTAGTTTTGTGCGTTAAATAAACAGCGCACGACTAGGGTATACTCCCCAGGGAGCAGAGAAGGTTGCACATCGTCCTGGTTTGCCATTGTATGTTATCCAGCGACCAGAGGTAATAACACTCAGCGCCCTCGATCATTCAATTTAAAATTGGCACTATATTTTTTATTTATTATTATTATTATTATTAGACACAATATTTAAATATTTAAAAATCAGTATTAATCAAGTACATCAAATCATAATATATAGTACATATTTCCGCGTGTTAGGAATTGTATGAAAAGTTACTCAGTAACTTTTGGAATAGTAGATCAGTAATTGTTATGTTGAAGCGCATCAATGTTAGTACGTAGCACACATTGCCATCCTCAAGCATTGTATGTGCCACGACACTGGAAGCAACGTGCAGTGTCAGCCAATCTAGGTCAGCCGACAGCCGGCCGACGGATCCAACTACGCCCTGGGTGACTGCTTGGCAAGATGTCATTGTTGTTTGAGTAGATAAGCGTAGAAAGTGATCCATTATGCGCCCTTTATCACATTGCAGTCTCTACGGAATCGCATTGACTGACCTTACAGTAAGTGCTGCCCACCCAGGTTTAAGCCAGGCTACTTGGAGTAGAGTTGGATAGCTTGGTGGTTAAGATTCTTGCTTTCTAATCCCATGGTCCTGGATTAAAATCCTGTCAGAGCCTCATGATGAAAACAACTCCACTCCCTAAGCCTCATAATGAGACAGCCTCATAATTAGATTTACTTTATGTAGAGCATCTTGTATTCATGTTTGACTTGCAGGCCCGTAGCATGGGGGGAGGGGTTAAGACAAACCACCCAAACACTGGAGAAGGTCTGCATTTAAAAACGGAAAATTGATATTCGTAGATATATTTCCAATGTTCTCCAGAGTATCGAAGATCATACAAACCAGAAGAACATATCACTAAGTTCATCTCTGTGCTGCAGTTTTTTTTTTTTTAAATTGTTAATGGTTTCCAAAGGGTCCACTTTCCACCGAAAAGAACCTCCCACAAATTAAGTCAGGCTACGGGCCTGGTCTTGTGATGGGATTGCCACTTTGAAAAGTGGCTAAGTTCACTGTTTGCCATCTCCTTGGTCCTAGTGCCTACAAGTCTGAATAAACAAAAAAAAAGAAGCAAAAAACTCCAAAAGAACCCAATTAAATACATACAAAGAAATGGACTTAATGAAAAGACTATAAAAAAATAAAAATGTGTGATGAAACTATTTATTGAATCAAAATCTTGTTCCACTTGGACTTAGTGTGCATAAAATGGATGGTCTGCATCCCTCGGTACTGGTCGTCCGTCTTCCCCAACAATAGGTTTATTATCCGGTCCCTGACAACAACAAAAAACAAACAAAAATATGATCATTATTATGAACAAGACCCAATAATAAATCAATGCACTTTCTCGTTCAGTTTAAACTGCTTTCTAGAAACCATCAAGACTAACTAAGCAATTCTGTTTTGAGCTGATACAATTCTGTATTTGAATTACAAATATATCAATTAATTATAAGTTAAATATAGAAAAGCACTATATTAAATATATTTACATTTGAGGAATGCCATTTCAAAACTTGTGTACTGTTTGCTAAATGATAAACAGATTCATTAGCATTATTAGAATGTGGCAGCATTGTATTATTTATTACAGAGAAGCTGAAAATGACTTAACTTTTTAAAGCTAATAATGTGCAAATCAAGTCAATATTTTTGTCACTGATGTTTGTTTTGGCATGGCAAGCCACACTTATTTATCAAATTCACCTATTGCAATTAATCAATTTCCAATAATCGTGTCATGAAACAAAGCATTATCTTTTCCTTATTAAATATCGTAAAATTATCCAGCTGTATTTTTTGTACCTTCTTAGCTGCAACGCAAACTCTCCACTTGGGAAGTGAAGATTTAATGGTGTTGAAATCCTGTTCATCGAGAGTGAAGTCAAAAACCTGAAAGAAATTGAGTAAGATTAAAGCAAATAACACTATTTTATTAATAATAATAATTATGTTTAATATATTTGTAAAAGAATAAAGATGTGCAGCTCTTCCCAATAGGTGGTCCATCAATCCCCCATAAATGAGCCAGAGTCCACACCCACCTTAGCCCCACCCTGTCTTAATTTTCCACCCAACAGATTTTACCATGGCTCCCTGGTAGCTCCCCGGGCCAGCTGGCCCAACCGTTGGCACCACTCCATGCTGTCATGAGTGAAAAGAACTGAAAAATTTAATTCTATAGTTGAATTGATGAATTTGTATATTTAAGTATTAAGTTATTTAATGTACAATTATAAATTTGAATGTTTAAGCAATTAAGTTTGCTATTGTACAAAAATACAATAAAAAAATATCCCTTTCTTATGACAGGATAGTAAGTACTGTATAATAATTTTCATTATTTTTATTTACTTATTTATAACTTATTTAGCCAGAATAACATCTCAGTTATACATACAGGGCATATATACTATTTTTAAAATGATCACTAACCTGAAAGTTTTCTGCAATTCTACCAGGGTTCACGCTCTTCGGTATTGCTACAACCTTACGTTGTACTTGAAATCTAGAAAAAGATTAAGTCCCTCATACATCATTGTTTACTTGTAACTCTCACCTCATTCGTAAACTACATGGTTAAAATTTCAGCAAATAATCAAATACAAACTTTGTCTTAGAGTTTGCAAATCACTTTCAGGCACATGCCCAGTGATCGGACTTAAAAATATACATTCATTCTTACAATAAACTCGATCAGGACTACTCCATAGCAGCCTGATTATGGAAAAACCTGTCTGCTTCTACCAAGTATTTTAACTCAAACAGACGGTTTAAGGAAAGCCTTAAGCATGGTTAAACGAAGTAAGGGCAGCATGTTCGGGCTTGGTTTGGTATTCCTTCTACTCATTCCAATATAATCTTTTATGCTTTATTACCATTATGCATTCTGATTGTGCAATTGTGTAGGTTTTATAATTGTTATTAATGATATTGATTCAATTTTTTTCAAATATACCTAATTAAAAGGACAGATGACGTTTTCTGATTCAATGAATAACAACTAATACAGGAAGTATTTTTTGCATGATACAAGCACTTTTCTCTTATACACATCT